ATATTAATTATTTCACCTTCTATCATGTATAAAATAGCATTTACATAATTTTTTTTATAACTTATACATTAATTCCCTATGTTTCAAATGATTTGTGATATTTCGACTTCACACAAAGTTTAAAAAAATAAAGAAAAATTTAGAATCTTATGGTCTTATATTTATAAAAATATATCAAATGTATCAAAACATCTTTAATTTTATGATCTTAAATACGTCATGTATAAAGTTAATATTAAATAATCGTTTCTAAGTAAAAAAAAAAAGCTTTTAAAAAACAAATTAAAAAAAGGGCCGAAAAACAAATTAAAAATGAAGGAGTATATATTAGGCAAGCAGATTCCTAAATTACAACAAAAAGATGTATTGATTTTTATTTTTTATTTATACTATATAGAAGAATACTGCCAAATGTGATAAGTATGGTATCAATTACGCATTTAAATTTTAATACATAAATAACTTACCTCCTAATCAGTTATCCAACGATTAAATCAATAACTGTCAATATTTTATATATAAAAAAAAATCATAAAACCACTCTCCAATTTTCAATAGAATATTTAGCACCATATAGACTGGAATACTTTTTTAAGCTCACTACTGTGAGAAGTAGACCTAAAATTTAGACTTTATATGTTCATGATTTGCTACTTCCATAATTTCTTTAATCAATCTTTAATCTGTGTTCAGAACATATTGTTTGTACTTACTCGTGCACAAATCACGAGAATCCCATTTATTTGTGCCAAAACACACTATTACAACAAAACTTTTGAAGAGCATAATCAAAATTTCAAACAACACATCAAGAGATTTCAATTCTACACATTATTATGCTCATATATATTTTTTTGTGTGTTGTGTGAAATACTGATATCTTGCTATTTATATTATATGATACTCCCTTTGTTTCTATTAAGTTGTTCACTTTAAAAATGTTACACATATTAAGGCATCAATGATTATCATATGTTAGTTACAATTTTATTTTTATAGTATAACTCTCCAAGTATAATAAATGTATTTTTTTTTCCAAAAAGCATGCATTACAACTTAATAGTAGAAATTTTCTAGAATTAAATAAAGACATCTTAGAAAAAAAAATTATTATCCTTTCTTAATTTATTAAAATGAATAAGTAAATACAAATAAATATAAAAAAAATATAAACAAATAAATAGGAACAGAAAATATACCGTAATACATCCTTAAACTATAATATATAGTAATAAATGAACAGAGAGGAAACGTATAATTGAATGAATGAAATAAATGAACTTTCTTAAGGTCGTCTCCTAACATGTGCGAAGCCCAAGCTAGGGCGACTGAATCTCCAACTTTTATTCATATTATTATATTATATTATACCTCCAATACTTTTTCGCTGTCATGCTTACTAAAAATAGTTGATCCAAATAATTATTATTTTTGAAAATTACAGTAGATTTAAATTTGTAGCTAATTTTCATATTTATTTTAACTTAATAAATACGGGGAGTAATTAATCTATTAAAAAGAAGAAATAACTTAGTTAAAATTACCTTTTTAGTTAATATTTTAAAAAAAACATACGAAAGAAACACATGACAAGTAAAATTAAAAAAAAAAAGAGATAAGTATTGAGAAACACCTCTGAATTTGACACAAATTATTGGTTTCATACCCAAACTATTGACAGTCTTAGAAAAACTCATTTACTTAACTAATTAAATTTAGATATATCCTCAATCCGTCACATGTCATAACAAATGGTGTCAAACTCTCATAGGAGCATGAAGTCTTAATAAGAACCCGAGAGAAAAGTTGAAAACACCTCTAAACTTGGCGAGAATTTAGTTGTATTTAAATTCAGTTAGTCAAATAAAGAAGATATTTTTAATTAAGATTGTCAATAATTCGAAGATAAACTAATAATTTATATAGAATTTAATTATGAATATTTTCAATACTTCTCTCTAAAATAAATTAAAAAAGAATACATGAAAAAAACCCTAAACCTAAACCTTGACCCGTGGATCCTACTTTTATTTAAAAAATATTAAACCTTGTTAATAATTCATAATTAAATATGGCGCGTCCAAATGAGATTGCCAATCCCTAGGAGGTTTTGTAGCTGTTTTTCGCTATAGTTCGCTTTGAAAACAATCAAACGTTCCGTTATTTATTTCATTGGGATCATTTACGTATTAATTTATTTGTGCAAAAGTGCATGGCAAGTCTCCAATATTGAAATTGAACCCGGAATTCATGCACCATATAAGTGATAAAGTGGATGCAAATATTAAGATTATTCAAGGCTCAAATAGAAGGTCGGTTTTCTCTCGATTATTTTATCGATCCTATATGTTGATATTAAAATTACTTTTTTTTCGTCGGAAAATAATATATAGTCATACAAATACTCAAGATTTGTATTAGATTAGAAATTTCAAAAATAAATATATTATTCTTTTTTACATGTGTCTAATCAAACTGTATCATATAATGTGAGAACAAAAAATTAAAGTAATACTCTCTCCATCCAGAATTATTTATCATGTTGCGCTTATCGAAAGTCAATGTGATTAATTTTTAAAGATAAATTAGATTACATTAATTCGATATTTTAAACCAAAAAAATAGATATTCTAAAACTATATGAAAAGTATTATAAGTTATAATTTTTTACATATTAATATGGTGAAAAAATACATCTTAAAACGTTAGTCAAAGTTTTTATAGTTTGACTCTAAAAATAGAAACCATGACAAACAATACCTGACGGACGGAGTACTAGCTAAAATTAGACAAATGAATTATACTCCTTCCATCCGGTAATGTTTGTCATGGTTTCTATTTTTAGAGTCAAACTATAAGAACTTTGACTTACATTTTAAGATGTATTTTTTCATTATATTAATATGCAAAAAATTAGTCAAATTAATTTTCGATAAGCGCAATATAACAAATAATTCTGAACGAAGAGAGTATATCCCTCGAATATTTTCTATATATTGTTTCTTATGCTCCTAATAACAGTACCTAGAGCTAGCTGGCAAATTTCATGCAAATGATTGAATTCTTTTTCTCAAGGGATAAGAGAGACCTACCCAGTCTACTTTAATGTATAGAGATTGTTGCGTAAATTCACGTTTTCCAACTTCATATAGGTGAAATAAGCTAAGCACTATTATATGCATGCTGCGCGTGTGCGTAGATAAATTTATTTGGGGGTTTATCCTAGCACAAATTTACTGTATAATTAGCGGGTGCAGTAATACTTGAATCTAAGGGTATATAAAATTAAATTAAAAATCAAATTAAATCGTAAATTAAGTTAATCTGAAAAAACTCAACTAGTGATTTGGTATTGGAAAAATAAACTCGACTATATTTGGGTTGATTTGTTTTAACTTAAAAAAATCAACCCGACCATATATATTTTATCTTTAAATTTATTTTATACATCAAAATATTTACTTTGATATAATTTTAAATATTTCTTATACTATTTCATAGTTTTATCTTTTAATATAGGGAAAATGCATAAGTACCCCCTCAACCTATGCCCAAAATCTCAGAGACACACTTATACTGTACTAAGATCCTATTACCCCCGAACTTATTTTATAAGTAATTTTCTACCCCTTTTTAGCTTACGTGACACTAGTTTGAAAAAAAAAGTCAA